AATTAACACACACCAGTAAAAGCAGTTACAATGAAACCAAAAATTTGGGGAGTGGTTGCATTTTTTAAGGTCACTTTGGAATCAATTTAAAGTCGTAAGATTTCATATGGACATTAAAACATCAAACTTAACCCTTTTGGCTTTTTGGATAATATACGTGTTACGAGCCACCGTGTTTTACATATTTTTTTTTTTTTTTTTTTTATTATCACACGGCCCATTCCCCCCAAGGCAGGGTGGCCCAAAAAGAAAAACTTTTTACCATCATTCACCCAACTGTCTTGCCAGAAGGGTGCTTTACACTACAGTTTTTAAACTGCAACATTAACACCCCTCCTTCAGAGTGCAGGCACTGTACTTCCCATCTCCAGGACTCAAGTCCGGCCTGCCGGTTTCCCTGAACCCCTTCATAAATGTTACTTTGCTCACACTCCAACAGCATGTCAAGTATGAAAAACCATTCATCTCCATTCACTCCTATCAAACACGCTCACGTACGCCTGCTGGAAGTCCAAGCCCCTCGCACACAAAACCTCCTTTACCCCCTCCCTCCAACCTTTCCTAGGCCGACCCCTACCCCGCCTTCCTTCCACTACAGACTGATACACTCTTGAAGTCATTCTGTTTCACTCCATTCTCTCTACATGTCCGAACCACCTCAACAACCCTTCCTCAGCCCTCTGGACAACAGTTTTGGTAATCCCGCACCTCCTCCTAACTTCCAAACTACGAATTCTCTGCATTATATTCACACACACACATTGCCCTCAGACATGACATCTCCACTGCCTCCAGCCTTCTCCTCGCTGCAACATTCATCACCCAATGCTTCACACCCATATAAGAGCGTTGGTAAAACTATACTCTCATACATTCCCCTCTTTGCCTCCAAGGACAAAGTTCTTTGTCTCCACAGACTCCTAAGTGCACCACTCACACCTTTTCCCCTCATCAATTCTATGATTCACCTCATCCTTCATAGACCCATCCGCTGACACGTCCACTCCCAAATATCTGAATACATTCACCTCCTCCATACTCTCTCCCTCCAATCTGATATCCAATCTTTCATTACCTAATCTTTTTGTTATCCTCATAACCTTACTCTTTCCTGTATTCACTTTCAATTTTCTTCTTTTGCACACCCTACCAAATTCATCCACCAACCTCTGCAACTTCTCTTCAGAATCTCCCAAGAGCACAGTGTCATCAGCAAAGAGCAACTGTGACAACTCCCACTTTGTGTGATTCTTTATCTTTTAACTCCACGCCTCTTGTCAAGACCCTCTCATTTACTTCTCTTACAACCCCATCTATAAATATATTAAACAACCACGGTGACATCACACATCCTTGTCTAAGGCCTACTTTTACTGGGAAATGCTTTCCCTCTTTCCTACATACTCTAACTTGAGCCTCACTATCCTCATAAAAACTCTTCACTGCTTTCAGTATCTGTAAGACATATATATACGTACTCATGAATTCTAGCAGCTTCAAATCAAGCAGGAGAAACCTGGTTGGCCCACATGTGAGAGAATGGGTCTGTGTGGTCAGTGTGCACCATATAAAAAAATCCTGCAGCACGCAGTGAAGAATGAGAAAAAAAAATACTCCGACCGTGGTTCTTTTTTTTTTTAATTAAAATGCCGACTTTGTGGTCTATTTTCGTGTAGTATTTATGGTTGTATTCTCATTTTCTTGGTCTCATTTGATAGAATGGAAAACATGTTATAGAAATAGAGGCGATTTTGATTGGTTTTATTATGAAAAGAACCTTGAAATGGAGCTCAAAGTAAGGGAAATGTTTGATTTTTGTCGATGTTCAAAAGTAAACAAATAATGTCATTGTCCAATAAATGTCCAACTAGCCATTCTAATATGCAGTCATGAATGGGTTGACATTATGTATTTATACAATTATTACAGTATTGCAGTAACCTGCATAACAGTAAATCTTCTATTTTTTATTTGAATAAAGTTTTAAAATAGAAAGCAAGAGTAATATTGGAGGGGCCTGGAGACATGACTGATGAACAAAGAAAATGTTACATGTATTTTAGAACCAGGAATGTCTGCATTGTTCATTCTGGACCCTATTTTGAAATTGTCGTATTTTTTAATTTTCGTGAAATTGGCCAGATTACAAATTTCTGACCATGTTGTTGGGTAGTTGAAATTGGTAAATGGGCAGTTTCTTGTACTCAGTTGATAGAAAAAATGGAGCTCTAAAGAAATAGCTATGAGTTTGGTCGACTGAAACAAAGGAATTAGCTGAAAATAGGGCTCAAAGTGGATGAAATTGCCGATTCATAAACATTGCCGAGGTCGCTAACTTCGCGAGAGCGTAATTCCGTCAGTTTTCCATCAAATTTCATTCTTTTGGTGTCATTACAATCAGGAAAAGATTCTCTATTATTTCTTAAGATTTTTTGTTTTTTTCCTCGACGCCAGGAGACACCTAAGGATTTGGGGTTGCGACAGTCAAGGGGTTAAATAAATTTCAAAAAATTATTTTTCTCAATTATTTTTTCACCAAAAGTATTCACATTTTGTGAAGGTTCATTTTGTGTTTGTGTGAAAGGCTCGCATTTATATGGTAGATCTTTATCAGGAATTGTAGACTAGGTGAACTGTAAAGTTGATGAGGGGGAAAAAAAAAGGTGGGTGGTGTTTTGAGGTATCTGTGGAGACAGCTTGATCCATGGAGGTAAACAAGGAGAATGTCCCAGAGTATGGCGGCACCAGCACTAATATGGGTGTGAAGCATTGCAGCAAGGAGGCTGAGGGTGGTGGAGGTCTTGTGTTTTAGTGTGAATGTTATACAAAGAATTTGGAGTTTGAAGATTAGAAGGTGTGGGATCACTAAAAGTTTAATTAACCTTTTGGCTGTCACAACCCCCAAACCTGAGGTGACTCCTGGTATAGCAAATTATTTAAAAAAAAAAAAATCTTATGAAATGATAGAGAATCTTTTCCTGATGGTAATAACACCAAAAGTATGAAATTTGATAGAAACCTTACGGAATTACGCTCTTGCAAAGTTAGTGACCTCGGCAATATTTACGAATTGGCGATTTCACCCACTTTGAGCCCTATTTACGGCTAATTCCATTGTTCCAGTTGAACAAACTCATAGCTATTTCTTTAGAACTCCATTTATTCCATCGATTGAGTACAAGAAACTGCCCATTTGCCGATTTCAACTACCCAATAAAGTGGTCAGAAATTTGCAATTTGGCCAATTTCACGCAAATTAAAAAATATGCCAATTTCAAAATAAGGTCCAGAATGAACAGTGCAGACATTCCTGGCTCTAAAATAATTTTCATTGTTCATCAGTCATGCCTCCAGGTGCCTCTGATATTACTCTTGCTTTCTATTTTGAATTTTTATTCAAACAAAAAATACAAGATTTACTGTTATGCAGACTACTGCAATATTGTAATAATTGTATAAATAATGTCAACCCATTCATGACTGCATATTAGAATGGCTAGTTGGACATTTATTGGACAATGATATTATTTGTTTACTTTTGAACATCGGAAAAAATCAAACATTTCCCCTACTTTGAGCTCCATTTCAAGGTTCTTTTCATAGTAAAACCAATCAAAATCACCTCTATTTCTATAATATGTTTTCCATTCTGTCAAATGAGACCAAGAAAACGAGAATACAACTATAAATGCTACACGAAAATAGACCACAAAGTCGGCGTTTTAATCCAAAAAAACGGTAGTTTTTTTTTCTCATTATGCACTGCGTGCTGCAGGATTATTTTTATATGGTGCATACTGACCACACAGACCCATTCTCTCACATGTGGACCTACCAGCTTTCTCCTGCTTGATTTGAAGCTGCTAGAATTTTAGAGTATATATACGCCAAACATGGTGGCTCGTAAGACGTATATATGTGACCGAAACAGTCAAAGGGTTAAGGTGGTTGGACATTTAATGAGGATGGAGCAAAACTGGAATCCAGGAGGGTATATAAATTGAGTGGAGGGAAGGAGAGGTAGGAGATATCCCAGGATAGGTTAGAAGAGGTTTGTCACTGCTAGGGACTTGAACATCCAATAGGATTTTGTAAGTTCATTAGATCAGAGGGAGTGGAGGCAAGTGGTTTTGATGACTTGACATTCTGTTAAAGTGTGAGGAAGGTGATGTTTATGAAAGAATTTGGGGGAAACCAGTTAGCCATACTTGTCTTGGAGGCAGGAAGTACAGTGCCTGCACAGTTTGTGATATCACGCTTCCAGCAAAACAGCAGTTAGATGAAAGACATTGAATGCACTGTATTTTCTCTCTTGTATCACTGTCTTGGCAGGGTGACCTAATCATTAATCTTAATCCCTCCCCCCTTCATTCCTGGTTTATTACTTGATCTGTTGCACAGAAAACTTTTACCCACCTGCTCCTGTAGTTATCCTTTAAATCTCCTGCAGTGTTGTTTTCCTCTCTCTATTGCCATGTTCTTAGAAATGAATTCACTGCTTTGGCAAAAATCACGACATACCCGAATGCACTTTTTTTTTATGAATTTTTATAAATTATTTAATTTTGCTTGCTTCTTTTCTAAATTAACCATTTTAGAATCACTGGGACATCACTTTCATATTTGCTATTAACCCTTAAACGGTCCAAACATATACAAGTTTTTTTCAACATCTGAAAGTATGTAAAAAAATGTAGATCTTTTTTGTTTTACATTTGAAAATGTGTAAAAAAAACTTTTATATACATTTTTTTTTTGTTATATTTGAAAATAGGTAAAAAAAAGTAGATCTACTTTTGGAGCACTTCGAATTTGAACGTTGATCTGTTTGGACCGTTTAAGGGTTAAATGAAGATACATTGTGTTACTTAATTGAATGTGTTTCCAGTTTGTCAGCATTATGTGCCTGAGTCCATGTATATGCATGACTTGGTTATTTTAATATGCATGCATATGTTGTGGTAGAAATCTGTATTGTAATTTTTTTTATTCCTTTACAGTGTATTATCCATCAGCTGCACAGCATCAACAGCTAAAACCAGTGATGGGTCAGGCTCCGCAGAGAGAACGTAAAACTCTTGCTATAGTGGATCCTAGTACTGGCAAGAATATTTTAGATGACATGCATAATGAAAAGCCAGATAAAACCCCAACACCACCTCAGTCATCTGAATCTAGTGCCAGGAACACACCAGCACCTGTAAGTAGTGAATATGATCTTCTCTTGTTGTTTCCATGATTAAGATTAAGCATGCAAACTTATACTTTTTCTTCTCATAATTAAGTCAGTCTATGAGATAAAACTACTTGGGTTGTCATTAGGGTTGGGACAATACCAAATTTTTTTACTGAAAGCCAGTATTGATGCCCTTAAATTTACTCAGTACTCAGATACCAATACCTATACTCAAGTACTCAGATACCAATACCTATACTCAGTTTTAGGTTGATACTGATCAAAATTAGTCAATACTGCTGATGTCGATGATTTGGCACATCCCTAGTTGTCAACCCATTTCCACAAATTCTTTGACAATTTCTCATATGTATATGCTTTTCAGCAATTTAAGTGTCGGTCATGATACCCTAACTACTCAAAACAAATCACACTTAATAGGGATTAATCAGCACCTTGATGAGGCAAAATAATGTTTACTTGATTCATAAAATAAGGAAATAGGTATGGGCAAGTCTTTTGCACATTCTGCCTGTTATAGTATCACTGCAGCAGTAATATCTCTAGTGGTGGTGGAGGCATCTCTTTTCCTGCTGATTCTGGCTTTGATTTAACCCTTTGACTGTCACAACCCCCAATCCTGAGGTGTCTCCTGGTGTTGCAAAATTTAAAAAAAAAAATGTATATATATTTTCTTATGAAATGATAGAGAATCTTTTCCCAATTGTAATGACACCAAAAAAAACGAAATTTGATGGAAAACTGACGGAATTATGCTCTCGCGAAGTTAGCAACCTTGGCGATATTTACAAATCGGCGATTTCGCCCACTTTGAGCCCTATTTTCGGCTAATTCCATTGTTCCAGTCAACCAAACTCATAGCTATTTCTTTAGAACTCCATTTTTTCTATCGATTGAGTACAAGAAACTGCCCATTTACCGATTTCAACTGCCCAATAATGTGGTCAGAAATTTGCAATTTGGCCAATTTCACGAAAATTAAAAAATATGACAATTTCAAAATAAGGTCCAGAATGAACAATGCAGACATTCCTGGCTCTAAAATAACATTTTCTTTGTTCATCGGTCATGTCTCCAGGGCCCCTCTGACATTACTCTTGCTTTCTATTTTGAATTTTTATTCAAACAAAAATAGAAGACTTACTATTATGCAGACTACTGCAATACTGTAATAATTGTATAAATAACATCAACCCATTCATGACTGCATATTAGAATGGCTAGTTGGACATTTATTGGACAATGACATCATTTGTTTACTTTTGAACATTGGCAAAAATCAAACATTTCCCCTACTTTGAGCTCCATTTCCAGGTTCTTTTTATAGTAAAATCAATCAAAATCACCTCTACTTCTATAATATGTTTTCCTTTCTATCAAATGAGACCAAGAAAACGAGAATACAACCATAAATACTATACGAAAATAGACCACAAAGTCGGCATTTTAATTAAAAAAAATGGTCTGAGTTTTTTTCTTAATATGCACTGCGTGCTCCAGGAATTTTTTTATATGGTGCACACTGACCACACAGACCCATTCTCTCACATGTGGGCCTACCAGCTTTCTCCTGCTTGATTTGAAGCCGCTAGAATTTATGAGTATATATACGTCAAACACGGTACCTCGTAAGACGTACATATACGGCAGCGACAGTCAAAGGGTTAAACCAATGTGTGGTTACTTTGTTCCTCTAGCCACTACATCATCAGCCCCTCGTGCATAGCTCATAAAACAATTCAGATATGTATCGAAGAGTTTGATTACAGTTGGAATCTGTGATCTGCATGTCAAAGCCATAGTTGGCAACTCTCTTCACATCTCCCAGGCAGAGGTTTACACATTGTTCACAAAACACAAATCTGCACGTAGAATGAAACATATGGCAACTTTTCGGTCCGACTTGTGAACATTAACTAGTCACACAGAAGAGTGAAAGGAAGGAAGCTGGGAGTAGTTGAACGAGAGGTAGCGGTATACAGCAGACCCCTAGTTTTCGGCCATAATCCGTTCCAGAAGGTTCGCCAAATCCAAAATCGCTGAAAACGGGAGTAATATTTCCAATAAGAAATAATATAAATCCAATTTATACATTCCAGACACCCAAAAATATATATACGTATATATAAAATACATTTTTTAAAGAATAACTGTAGTTTTACATACAGAAAACAATGAGTAAGAAATACAAAACACTAATGATAAATGAACATAACATACCTTTATTGAAGACTCTTTTTGGCGTATTGAAGAAGGTGAGGAAGGAAGCGGGAGTTAGGAATCTCTCTCCATAAGGACTTAAGGTATCAGAGCCCTGGGTTATTTCCTTCTTGGCTTTTACTGCCACAGTACATTCATTACTTATCTTAAAATATTTGTAGCCTTAATGTAGGGTGAAAGGTGAGTAGTATTTTATTTGTAGGAAGTCAGTGTAGGTAGCCAGTAGATGTAGGTACGCGCACGTAGCCTCCCCCTGGGCTACACTACACAGCCATATTATTACATCGACATACCTTGTTCATTGAGTTCAGTCACTTCTAACAGCTACCTTCAGATGCCATCATAAACAAAGGGAGAAGTAATGAATAATTCATGCCGAGAATTGTAAACAGACGCTTATGAAAGGTGGTGACTGGGCCAGATGCCAGTTTCACAGTTTTCTCTAATGCTGAATCAGAGAAAACGTACTGTGGAAAAAGACGCTTATGTACAGTTCAGGACATTTATTAAAGGAAACTTTTGCCACTAGTGGCTTCTTCAGTCCTAATACAGAGAAAACCAAGAAAATACGTATGTGCTGTACATAGTGGCAGGAGTCGGGTGAAGTGTCACGTGGGTAGAGGTGGTGGTGGTGGTAGTAGTAGTAGTAGTAGTAGTAGTAGTAGTGGAACTAAGGTGGTGAGATGGATGGCTACAGAGGGACCTGTTGATATCATGTAACATTATACACAAAACTCAAGAGGGTCACCAAATAGAACGTAAGTAACACGTCAGCGGACCTTTCTTTTAAAGACTATAACAAGACAAAGATCACAACAGCCAGGAAGGTGATCAGGTGGGTATTGAGAACTTTTAAAACAAGGGAAATAATGCCAATGGTGACACTCTTCAAATCGCTAGTGCTCCCTCACTTAGAATATTGCTCAGTGCTGACAGTCCCATTCAAAGCAGGAGAAATATCAGAGCTGGAACAAATAGAGATCGTTTATGGCTCACATTGAGCCTGTAAAGCACCTAAACTACATACTGGGAATGCCTGCAAGTCTTGAACATGTATTCATTGGAGTGGAGGAGAGAGGGAGATGCATGATAATATATGCGTGGAAAATACTCGAGGGCCTGGTCCCAAATCTGCACACTGCCATAACAACATACTGGAGTGAGAGATATGTGAGGAATTGTAAAATAAACCCAGTGAGGAGCAGGGGTGCAGTGGGGACAATAAGGGAACACTATCAACATCCAGGGCACCAGACTATTCAACATCCTACCAGAAGATATCAGAAACATGGCTGGAACAAGTGTAGAAGCCTTCAAGAGGAAGAACGTAAGAATGGAGGAACACTGCAGAAGGCCTACTGGCCCATACAAGGCAGGCCCTTATCAAAACGACCTGCTGGACAAGTATCTTCATCAGGTGCAAGATCAACCAAGCTGTAATGGATATGTGGGGCAGCGAGCCTCCAGCAGCAACAGCCTGGTTGACTAGGCAGGCACCAGATGAGCCTGGCCCATGGCTGGGCTCAGAGAGTAGATAAACTCTCAAAACTCTTCATAGGTATATCAAAAGTAAAGCAGTTTCCAGAATTGGTAATATCCTGTTGATCAGGATGAATAATTCGATATTGTTTATTTAGATTTTAGTAAGGCTTTTGATAGAGTACCACATCAGAGACTATTGAAGAAAGTGGCTGCTCATAGCATTGGGGGAAAAGTGCTGTCATGGATTGGGTCATGGCTCACTAATAGTGTGTGCATAAATGGGGTTAAATCTTGAGTGGGAAGCTGTAACAAGTGGCATTCCACAGGGATCAGTTTTAGGCCCATTGTGGTTTATAATGTATATAAATGACCTTGACAAGGGAATTACTAGTGACATAAGCAAATTTGCTGATGACACGAAGATAGGTAGGATAATCGATTTAGACGTTGATGTCTCGGAACTTCAGGAGGATTTAGACAAACTCAGTTTGTGGCCAGAAAAGTGGCAGATGCAGTTCGATGTAGACAAATGTAAAGTTCTAAAGCTCGGAAATGTTCATAACCTTAGCACCTACTAGCTTAATAATGTTGAACTTAGCCGTATAGAATGCGAAAAGGATTTGGGGGTTATGGTAAGCAGCAACCTTAAACCAAGACAGCAGTGCCTAAGCGTGCGTAATAAGGCAAATAGATTGCTGGGATTTATATCAAGAAGTGTAAGCAACAGAAGTCCAGCGGTTATACTTCAGCTTTATACGTCATTAGTAAGGCCTCACCTAGATTATGCAGCTCAGTTCTGGTCTCCATTTTACAGAATGGACATAAATATGTTAGAAAACATTCAGCGACGAATGACAAAATTAATTCATTGCATTAGAAATCTTCCGTATGAAGAGAGATTGAAGTCCCTTAACCCTTTCAGGATCGACAGGCCCTCTCAGAGACTTGTTCTCAGGGTTGCCCAAATGTCAAAAAAAAAAAAAAAAAAAAAAAATTTCTTGTGAAAAGATAGAGAATCTTTTCCCGATCATAATGACACCAAAAGTATGAAATTTGATGGAAAACTTCCGGAATTATGCTCTCGCGAGGTTAGCGGTCTCGACGATGTTTACGCATCGGCGATTTTGCCCAATTTCAGCCCCATTTTCGGCCAATTCCACTGTACTAGTCAACAAAAATCGTGAATATTTTGCTAGATCTCCATTTTTTCTATTGAATGAGTGCAAGAAACCACCCATTTACCGATTTCAACTATCCAGTACAGTGGTCAGAATTTAGCAATTTTGCCAATTTCACACAAA